AAATCCTGCATCCTGGTGCCAGTTAACAAACTGATTTAAACTTTCTGGATATTCAGCTTCTCCAACCTTTCCAGACCGGTCAAAATTGATAAATTTTACATCATCATTTGGTCCAATAAGAATATTTGGTCCACAAAGATCTCCATGAACAAAATAAAGTCTATGAAGCCCTATGCAAAGTTTGCACACTTAAAACATACTTATTATACCACTAAAACACATTTAATTTAAGTAGAATTTAATTAATGTTTTGAGCATGGAATAAATATGTTTTAAACATATTTCAAGTGTAATTTAAGCACATTTTGACTATTATGGGGAGACACTTAAAACATTCTCGTTTCTTGCAAATTTAAGTAGAAAATAAACATGATTTTCTACTTATTTTTTATTTATTTTCTACTTATCATACTTGGACTATACTTAAATTATACTTAAATTTATTCTTAAAATTACTAGAAAATAGATTGTTTATTTAAATTAAATACATTTTATTTAATACTAATAAAGTAATAACTAATTTTTTTCTTTAATTGTTGTGTAAAAATAACCCATTGTTTAACTATGAACCCATTTTTGAAGAAAGAAATATTAATCACAATGTTATATATATAATAAAAATTATTATTATTAATATATTATTACTTACTGCGTTATGCTTTGATGATCACGCGCAAACCTATTTGGGAAGAAAAGAAATATTAATACAATGTTATATATTTAAATAAGTTATTATTATTAATATATTATTACTTACCACGCGTAACAATAAACCAGTAAAACCCGTTAATACAATAAGAATTATTGGTAATATATTATTACTTATCTTGATGGTCGCGTGCATAATAATAAAACCCGTTAATACAATGTTATATATGTATACAATAAATTATTATTATTAATATCAGTAATATATTATTACTTACCACGTTAACAATAAGCCATTATAATAAATCAATAAATCAGTTGCATATGTAACAATAACCATAATAGTAAACCTCGTTAATACAGTTATATATATACAATAAGAATTATCATTAGTAATTGATATATTATTACCAATCCCATTGTTTAATTGGTAGATTTGTTTTTTTGAAAAAAACAAATATTAATATGATGTTATATATAATAAGTTATTAGTAGTAATATTATCCATTATCTACTACTATTAACCATGTTATGTTTCCCCATTATCTGTTTTTTGAAGTTACACATTTTCTTTTAGTTAATGCAGTAATGAATAGATGAATGAAAGAGTAAGCGAAATAAAATAATTCAACATTCTCAAAGATCCATATGCTGTTTGTTCATAATTCAGCTGTTATTAATTATACTGACTTTCGGTATACTGTCTTTTGATTAGCTCTTATTTTTCAATGATACTACTGTATATAGTTTCAAGATTTTATGTAAACAAAAAAATATTGGTTGCGTGACGTATCCTATAGATCAATAGGGAAGTTTTAATATACAGTGATGATAATAAATAGGAATAATTGACATTTTCTTAAGTCATAGTACTAGTAGTAGCTATAGTAGTAGTAATATAGATTATCAAATAAAATTATTGTAATTTATACTATCTTGTTAAAGGAAATAAGCCTTATTTATAATTTTACAAAGTTAAAATCCCTTAACAATAATATTAATATTAATATAGAATTTGTTGCATCAAACCGTGGATTAATATTTTATAAAATGAATAAACCGAATAAAACCGAATAAAACGAATGATTCGAATAAAACGAATGATTCGAATAAAAACAAATGATTCGAATAGACCGAATAATTCGAATAAAACCGAATAATTCGAATAAAACTGAATAAAACGAACAAAATGAATAAAACGAATAAAACCGAATAAAATGAATAAAACGAATAGACCGGACAAAACGAACAAAACGAACAATTCGAATAAAACGAATAATTCGTATAAACTGAACAAAACGAATAAAACTGAATAAAACCGAATAAACCGAATAAACCGAATAAACCGAATAAACCGAATAAACCGAATAAAACCAAATAAAACAAATAAAATGGATAATTCAAATAAAACTAAACGAATAATTAAGATAAAGAATTTGTATTAATATTAATATTAATATGGCTATTCTAAAAGTTTATCAGAATGCCTGGAATTTTATAATAAAATTTTGCTCCCTGGTCTTCATCACCTTGTTTGATGCTAATACCCTTGTTGTGTAATTAATCAAATAAATCTAATCATCTATATTCATTTATCAGTCAGAAGTGAAATTGGACTGGTCAATTCTTTAGACGCAAAAAGAATAATTTTATTATTTGTTTTAAGGATATATAAAGTAAATTACAAAATCAAAAAAATAAGTACGTTTTGACAATTGATACATAACAAAGGTATAAAACGAGAGGTCAAAGACTTCCCAATCAATCGTTTGAATGATTTTTTCCGAGATTACCCGAAGTCCTGATTCTTCTAAAATTTGTTTTTAATCATGTATATGATGATGGTTTTAAAGTTTTAAGAGATACTCAACCATTTGAAAAAAAAAATTCAGTTGATTCAATCTTTTACAATTCAATATTAATATATTAGGTAGATGATGATGATCATCGTCTTTTGAAATTGGTATATACCGTAAAGTCTTGAAAGATAGCACCCCCTTTTTACAATATGATCGACATTCAATTTGAGCATAAGATTAACCATAAAAGGTAACGAGTTTATTACTTAAATATAAAAAATAATGAATGGAAAAAATTTATTAGCCATGAACTTAAATTACTGTCTTTTTTTTGAAACATCATTGTATATGATGATTTAGTATGGCGGAGGTGTATAGGAATTTTTTTTGTTTGTCCTGTGAAACACATCCTTATTGCCTTTTCACTATTTTAGAAGGTGCTATCTTTCGGGGGGTGATATCTTTCCAGACTTTACGGTAAGTAGAACAAAAAATAAAAAATTTTTCATCAAAAAAAAATTTAATTATAAAATAATGTTAATAAGACTTATCAATTCTATACAACCTGTAAGAAATATTTTTAATTTCAATTTTTTATTTTAGGGAAATTAATTAACAATCAACAATTAATCATGTTTTCTTAAATCCAAAGGTTTTACAAACACAAATTCGTTCCTTTACCATTGCATCATATCAATGGGTGAGTTAATTTTTATTACTAGATAAAAATCAATTGTAATAAAAAACGTATCACGTGAACGTGGATATATATGCATTGATAATCGGTTAAAAATCGTTAATTACCTATTATGTCTTCACAGCTGCATCGAGTTGAAAAAGATACTTTAGGTGAAGTTGAAGTCCCAGCTGACAAATACTGGGGAGCTCAAACTCAAAGGTATTAAATATTAAATATTAAATATTAAATATATGTTTTATTTATTTCTCATTAGATTGATAAAATATTTTGTATGCATCATCTTTCTATCTCGTTTTATTATTATAGGTCATTACAAAACTTTGATATAGGTGGAGAAAGAGAGCGTATGCCAGAACCTTTGATAAAAGCATTTGGAATATTAAAGAGAGCTGCTGCAACTGTTAATATGACCTATGGACTTGATACAAAAATAGGTAACTCCATCGTTCAAGCTGCTGATGAGGTAAATTATAGTCAAAATGATTATAGCAATAATAGTTATTATTATCCTCTCTTTCTAATTATAAATAATCCTTTTTATCTTTAACTTAGGTTATTGGAGGAAAACTTATGGAGCATTTTCCATTAGTGGTTTGGCAAACAGGATCTGGAACTCAAACAAATATGAATGTTAACGAGGTATATTTTTTAAGTTTTTAAATATCATTCATCTATTTTGTTGATTTTATCAATAAATTGATCAATCAATAATCAATTAATTAATTTTAAACAAGGTTATTGCAAATAGAGCCATTGAATTATTAGGCGGACAACTTGGTAGTAAAAATCCAGTTCATCCTAATGATCATGTTAATATGAGCCAATCTTCCAATGACACGTAAGTTACTATATATATAATAACACAATATTACAATATTATGAATGAATGAAATGAAAATATTGTTGTTTAGACTCTTCTCATATAATAATGTGTACCAGTTTCCCAACAGCAATGCATGTTTCTTCTTCAATAGAGATTAATAAATCACTTATTCCTGAATTGACCAATTTACGTGATGCCCTTGCTGAAAAATCAAAAGATTTTGGAAAAATTATTAAAATAGGAAGAACTCATTTACAAGTATGTTTATATATAACTTATTATAGATTTAGATTACAGATTTATCAATTAACTAAATTATTATATAGGATGCTACACCACTTACTCTTGGTGATGAATTTTCTGGTTATGTGCAACAATTAACATTTGGTATAGAAAGAATTAAATGTACCTTACCAAGATTATATTATTTGGCTCAAGGTGGTACTGCAGTTGGTACAGTAAGTAGATATTATATATATTGTACACATATATACATTTATATATTAAAAAATCGTTATTATTATTATTGCTAAATTTAGGGTTTAAATACACGTAAAGGTTTTGATGTCAATATAGCAAATGAAATTTCAAAAATTACTGGGCTCCCTTTCCAAACTGCACCCAATAAAGTAGTTTCATTTTTATTTATTTGATATTAGTATTTATTCAATTTTGATATTAATAAATTATATATATATAGTTTGAAGCATTAGCTGCTCATGATGCCATAGTTGAAGCGAGTGGTGCTCTTAATACAGTTGCAGTTTCTTTAACAAAGATTGCTAATGACATACGACTTCTAGGTGAGAATTAATTTATTTAATTTATTCATTTTAAATAAACATTTTTTTAAAATCTTATTTATTTTATAGGATCTGGACCTCGTTGTGGATTTGGAGAAATTTCACTGCCTGAAAATGAACCTGGGTCTTCCATTATGCCTGGTAAAGTCAATCCAACACAATGTGAAGCCATGACAATGGTTGCTGCACAAGTTATGGGTAATCATACTACAATCACAATATCTGGATCAAATGGTCATTTCGAAGTTCGTACATTTCTTTTTTTTTTTTGTTTTTTTGTTTTTTTGTTTTGGTTTTTTTTTTTTTTGAAAGTATTCTATATAATTACTTAAATATTATTTATTATGGTTAGTTGAATGTCTACAAGCCAGTTTTAATCAAAAACCTCCTTCACTCAATTCGTATTCTCTCTGATGCATGCCGATCATTTAGAAAAAATTGTGTTGTTGGAATTAAAGCGAATGAAGAAAGAGTTAGTAATTATTTTCAATTAGGTTTTTTTTATTTCCCCGTTTATTTATACAACAACAACTTATAATAATATATTTATGTGTATGTAGATTGATAAGGTCATGCATGAAAGTTTGATGTTGGTAACTGCATTGAATCCATTTATCGGTAAAAAATGCTTTTTTGATTATTAATTGGTTTATCGTTAGGAGGACGAAGTAATTAATATATTTGATTTAATAATAAAGGATATGATAATGCTGCTGCTGTCGCTAAGAAAGCTTATAAAGAAAATACAACGGTAAGTTATTTAAAAAAAATATTATTATGTTAAATAGTTATATTATTGCAAATATGCTGATCATCTTTAAAAATTTTTTTTTCGTTAATAATAAAAATAATAGCTTAAAGAAGCAGCAATTAAATTAGGTGTATTAACTTCTGAACAATTTGATCAATGGGTGAAACCTGAAAATATGATTGGTTAGTGTAGATAGCTAATAATAATTATAATATAAAATTTTTTTTTATTGAAATATTTCTCTTCTTGCTAAAAACAACTTTTTTAATTTGTTTAGGTCCAAAATAAATGATTATTAATTAGCTGATTTTTTAATAGATTATTTACTTTATATAAAAATTTATTTTATTCGTTTTATTTAAATGTTTGAAGAGCAAATTCAAAAACAAAATTAATATTTAAATCGAAAAAAATTTTATTGTGCGTTAATGTGGAAAATATTTGCCATTCGATAAGATGATAAATATTTTATTTTTCAGATTCTTTAATTATTCAGTATCCATCCTCTAAACCAAAAGCGCCGAAACGTGATTATCATTATCTTTTTAAATTTCTATTAGTATACTATACTTACTAGGCTATTCGCTCAAAATTTTCACTTTGAAAAAGTATTAACAATGAAACGGTATCACACAATTTAGTTATATGCTGGTTTGCTAGTTAATATTATTTTTTTTACGTTAAAAACTCAAGTTGGTCATGCAGATACTCGCCTCTTAAAAAGGCAATTTCTCTAAATTTCTATTTCTATCATTATATTAGATCAGTCAGGTGCCTTGAATTTTATTCAATTAGCCAATTGACAATTTTCATGTGACCGGTTAATCAGTCAATTAGTATTATTACTTATTACATGGTTAAAAAATTTTTTCATGGTACCCCTAGTTGATTTTAACACTCCCCCAAGCTAATACTCAATGTTGAGTATAAAGCTCCGAATGGTTCGGTTTTTCGAGGCTTTAGTTGAGAATTTTCTTTTCACACACATCACTTGTAAATATAAATATTTTTCAGTAAAAAAAGAAAATCTACAAAGCAATAATTCTTCTCAAAGGAAAGATTATCCATAAAATAAACAAAGTATATTATTCAAGAACAAGAAAGCAGACCCATTTTGAATAGAAAAAAATTTATTCCCTGAATGTTAATGAATATCCTGAATGCTTTTTTGTGTGTTTTGCAGACAAGCTTAAATAGTATATTGTTAATGGATATCAAGCTCGCGAATATCAAATGGGTGTACTGCACTGCTCACGTTACCTGACCTGATCAGATCACGCTACGCGTCATATATAACTAACCATTTGTTTTTAACTTGTAATCATGCAATGTGTGTGTGTGAAAAATATTGTCTATGCTATTCACATCCAAACGGTACTCATTTTTTTTAAACAATCATATGGATATTGTATCCCTAAATTTTTTGAGAATCTCTTGTTTTATATATATGTGATTACACAGTTGGAAACATGATTGTAAAGTATATAGATATTTTTTAATACAAGTTTCACACAATTTTATTATAATAGGATATAATTGGTGGATTTCTAGCAAAAATCAGATATAAGTATAGTAAATTTTTTTATGTCTAAATTTTGCCAGTTATAATCCTTGTGGTATAGATATATATTATGCAGAAAACTCAATTTTTGTCTGGAGGTTTTACACCGGTTTTTGCTAGAAATCTTCTCAATTATATAGTGTACGTCTCAATAATTTGTTGATGATAATAATTTATTTTTATATTAAAAACAAATTTGACATCTCTTGATTTAAGTTAAACACGCAATATTATAAATCCAATTTTATTTTTGCAAAAATAGATTAGAAAAGAAATCGGGGTATGATTGAATCACATAACAAAGTTGCCACACCACAACACTAAGTAATAATATGACGGAAGTTATTCTAACATTGTTCCAATCAATTCTACCCATTTGAGAAAAGAACCAAAAGACCAAAAATGCCCCGCCAATACTTTTCATTTGCTGTACGTTATACACGGTACCATACCATAACGTAAACGCAAACGAAAAAATCTCCAAAAGGAGATTCCATCCGGTGTACCTAACGCTATCTATCAACAACGCGGTATGGTATGCAAACGTACACCAAAAAAATACGCCTGTCTCGAAAGGCGCTAACCATTTTGTATCGGAGATGTCGATGTTGAGTATGTAGATAGGTACCGAGTATACCAGGAGAAGTACACTGGTAAAAAATTTACAGCGAATCAGCGCATTCGTTGAATCGAATCCGATGTATGCCGTCGTTCTGTATACATATCCCGAGAACCCAAGTGAGGCTAACATAGCATAGACCGCTAACGTGCCTATCACATGACTTTGATATTGTATTGCGACAATGACATATATTACAATGAGGACTTTTATCGTGTAATTTACTGGTGAATTTCGACTTAAGATTGATTCTCGGCGCGAGAAATACCACAACCATGCTGGACACCACAGGAGGCAACCGGTTAACGTGATATAATTTCGGTGTGAGGTATTAATGTCGTAACTTCCTGCATAATAAATTATCGAAAAACAGGTTGTGTGTGCCAAAAACTCCCAGAAAGCGATTGGGGCCCAGAGTATAATTTTTTGTATTAATGCAAAAAGGTTAAGTACGATGAATAATGAAGCTATGGAAGATACGAGCAAGAATATGGAAATGGCCCAAATGATATTTGTAAAAGTGGCAAATCCAGCCAGACGTTCGCGGTAACTCGGTTTTCGTGGAGCAATTATGTCATTTGGTGATGGTAAATGGTTCTGAAATTGATCGAGAAGTTCGTCAGGTGTGAATTTTTGCAAGAGCGAATTGATAGTTTTCGACGCGGTTAGGTCTTTTTTGAGATTGTAAGAGTTACTTAAACCAAACAGTTGTCGGTACAGTTTTATTATAAGCTCTTGGTGTTCCTGATTGACTAACTGCTGCTGGTCCGATCGAAGGTTTAATTGTTCCCGCACAAATTTCAATTGTTGCAACCTTTCGCAAGTACCCAGAATTTTTACTAACTGGTTAAGATCGTTTATGGTATCCAGTTTATCAAAAAATGCGTCTACAGATAGAATTGGTTGATCTTTATCACCTGTATTTGAAGAAATATACAAAGAGTCTCCACCAAGTAAAAGCAGACATAAGAGAAGACATATTGTAATTCGATGGCTGCGCCAAATTTTTACCATTTTTTTGAGAAAAGTAAATGGATGTGGTAAAACCAATTTCTAAAAGGAGTTTGTGATTTAGTAATTCCCGTGTTCCACAAGTAAACGAATTTTCTTTTGGAAATATAAAAGTGTGCCGATAATTCATAAAAAAATGGTGCAAATAAGTGTCAAAGGTATTCAAAACGAATTTAGTGAAGTCTATTCGTACTAATACTAAGAATGACTATAATGAATTTTCTCGTCTATTTTTTTTTGGGACGATCAACGATTTTATATATAACGAGCTAGAAGTTACACTTAATGGTCAGAAGACGAGTACGTAAGTCCTTCCTTCACATGATACAAATTATGCATTAACTTGATTCGTCATTCTCGTATTACAATCATCTTTCCTGAATTGGCATACTTTAATTTTGCACGTGAGCCGAAAAATTTTGCCGCAACCTTGCATACTTCGGCTAATAACTAGGGACAATGAATTCTGCGGAGAAAAAAATCAGAATCTACTTACTTCTGCTGCGTTTAAAAGCGTTACTTCTGCTCAAGTTTTGCCTATTTTATTTGCAATTCTGCTTAATTCTGCTTATAGACCCCGGTTTTACGCGGCAACAAACATTAAATTATGCATGCAACATTATGCGCCATTTATTAAATCATTTTTATAATAAAATTTATAATCTTACATCAAAAACAAATAATTTTAAATCAGATATATACATACACGTTTTTTGTTGTTGAGACATTTTCAAAGGTTTAATCATGAAGAATTTAAGAAATTTTTAATTGTGTATGATTGTAAGAATTCGATAAAAGAAAATTTCATACAAATTTTTTTTATTATATCATGTGAATTCTCTATAACGCGATTATTACTTACTATTGGTTGTACGATTTTAATATTAAATATAAAATTCGTTGAAATGAAACAAAGTTCATTGAAACGAGGGTTTGGCTGTAGGTTCACTTTCATAACATTATCGTCATCGGTATCATTATCATTATCATTATAATCATTATCATTGTCCATAATGAGTAATGTTACAAGTAAGTAAAGGAGCAATGCAATAAGGACAATGAAAAGTGAATTAATTGGATAAAGATGATTATTTTTAATATATCTATTATTTTTTTTTTTTTGATGCCGGATATCCTATAATAATAATAATCAGAGATGGAACCGCAATTAGCCGCAATTCAACTTTCATATGCCGCAACCGCAATTCAATTTTTATATGCCGCAATTAGTTGCAACTAATTGAGGAACCATCTTTAATAATAATAATAATAATAATAATAATAATAATAATAATTCCTAAGTTTTGATCCGCAATCCGTCAGCCTTTTAACCGTCAACCTGAATATGATAATGATAGTAATAGAACGGATTTTTTTACGGATATTTGGTGCATCAAAATTGCTCTCAACTTCTCATTCCACTTTACCACTCTTCTCAAGAACCTATACACCTACCTTACACAAACCATCAACATCAGTTAATATATACCGGACAACACTTCTCTCAATATCGAAAAGATCAAATGGAAGTCAGGGAGATTTAGCAAAGTAATTTTGCCACTTGTTAATATCAATTAAAATTGGGAATATGATCTACAAAATGTAAAAAAACATGTCTGAACAAAAATTATCATCATATAATTATGTTGTTTTAGATATTGAAGGAACTACTACTCCGATTTCTTTCGTTCATGATATACTGGTAATTTATAATTAATTTAATGAACAAGCAAAATATCAGCGTCTAATAAGTAAATATATACACATATATAAAAGTTTCCATATGTTACAAAAAACTTGGAAAAGTTTTTACATAACAACTGGGCATCACAAGAGTTACAAAAATATGTTCAAGAGCTACGAAAACAAGTAAAGAAAAATTTGAATTTATTAATAAATAAATTGCATATATAGATATGTTAACTTTTGTTATAAGGTTTTTTTAATTTACGTGCACACCTTGGATTTATGATATAATTAGGCAGAACAAGATTATAAAGAAGGAATGCCCGAAGCCAAAATTATTCCAGAAGAAAATGAAAAGTATTTTTTTTTATTTGTATATACAATAATAATGATGATGATAACGTAGGGTTTTGGAAAAATATAGAAATAATTTTTTGAATTTCTTTGAATAGAAATACCGACGAAGTAATAAAATCTGTAATTCATAATATCGAATGGCAAATGAAAGCTGATAGGAAAATTGGAGCCTTGAAATCCTTTCAAGGTTACATGTGGAAATTTGGTTACGAATCTGGTGAATTAGAGAGTTTGTAAGTTTGTATTTAATCAAATAAATAAATGTCTTTATTTTGTAATTGATACTTAAAAATATGTGTTTTATTATTAGAATGTATGATGATGTTTTGGTTGCATTAAACAAATGGAAAGAAGCTGGTATAAAAATTTATATTTATTCTTCTGGAAGTATAGCTGCACAAAAACTACTTTTTGGTTATACAAATAAAGGCAATTTATTAGAAGTAAGTGGTAGTAATTGTTATTAAAAAAAAAATCTTTAATAATATTAATTCAGATTATTATATAGTATTTTAGTGGACATTATGATACTTCAATTGGTTCTAAACTTGAGGAATCAAGTTACATTAATATTTGCAAAAACATTGGATCAGTGCCATCCAAAATCTTATTTCTTAGTGATAATGTCAAAGGTTTTTATTTAATTGAACAATAATAATTATTGGTATTGTTATTAAATTTGATATTAATTCTTATATCATTCATTAGAAATTAGTGCTGCAAAAAAAGCAGGTTTTCAAACTGCAATTATACAAAGACCAGAGAATCCACCTTTATCAGAACGTGATCTCACAGAACATTTGGTTGTGAATGACTTTTTAAAGATACTGGAATATTCAAATTTATAATAAGATAAAATTATAGCATTACACAAGAATAAAATATACATGCACCAGTATTTACTACAAAAATAAATATAATTTTTTCTTTTTAAATTTTCAGTTTGGCAAATTTTGTAATGATTCATTATTCCATTTGGATCAATGCTATCAATCATTGGTATTAATACTAATACAGTCTGCAAAAAATATTCATTTTGTCACACCGAAACTATATAGATGGATCAGTAAAGTTGACATTCCATTATAGCTCATAATCAGTCGAATTTAATTTAATTGTTTTTTTTTTAATAGTAATAGATTCGACTAGTTGCAGAAGTATTTTATCTATGAAATTTTGGAGTTTTTGCAACAAAGATTAGGTTAAAAGGATTTATCTTATTAAATTGGGAAACTACCCACAATTTTCTTTGGACGTGGTGCAAATTTTTTTATTTTTTTATTAGTATTATGAAAAAAAATTAATTCGTGTATATATGATTAGTAGTAAGTAGTTTAGTATTAGTTATATTCAGTTTAGACGTGGCATTGGGATTGGTTGACTACGACAGTATCATTATTTGACTTTTTTAATTTATTACATTCAGTTTATCGTTAGTAATAATATACAGAAATACGTCTGGAATGATTTGTTTATGACAGGATTACTGTTGAGACCGTTCATAAATTTCAAAGCATGGTTGATGCAGTAACTTCAATGAAATCGGTTATCGAAGGAAAGCTAACCGATTATTTATCAAAGTTTTTAGGCGATGTGTTGGCAGTAGTAAATACTAAACTTGACATTAAAGTAAGTATAAAAATTAGGGATTCGTGCTGTTTCGGATAAATCTCTATCATGGACTGCGTGAACAACTTGAATCCTAAACAGAATAATTATTATCTGCAATATTACTAGGACTTTCTCGTCCAATGTCACGACATAACTAGATAAAGTTGACACTATGATTATTCATTCTGATGGTTTATTAGAAGAACTAGACAAAGTGATAAATACATATGGGAATGAGAGTATTTCCAGAAACGAGTAATATAGTTGAAGACAATCCAGCCTATGCAAAAGTTATTAAGGTGATTGGATTTTGTTCGTATGCACAATCATCGAATTTATCAAGCATATTCATTCCCACCTGAAGATTTAGAAAAACAAATAAAAGGGGCAGCAGGAGCATCGATGGATTCAGAAAATTTTACAAGATGATTTATTTTCTCAATTATGTGATCAAATTATTAATTTGTCTGAATATCGTAATCAATATATACGAAGTAATTTTAGTTATTAGTGCAAAATTAATATCACACGCTGGAGGTTTGCAAAATTACCTGCAAGATGTTGGTTGGGAGCAGTAAAAGCAAAAAAAAAAACTACATTAAAATAAAGGAAATTTTCCAGATCGAAACTCATACGTCTGCTCGTGCTGAGGTTTTGATGCCGAAAAAAGAATTAATGTTTTGGGAAAAAATTCATCATCATCAAAATCATATTCATCAACATTTGCAAAAAAATAGTAATAAAATGCACTTGTTATTTATCATAAAAGACAAAATTAAACCTTCAAACAGCTAAAATCGAATTTGCATCATCATCAAGTAAAATGATAAAACCAAATCTTCTGAAACAGATGAAACCGAATCTTCTTCATCAAACAAAAAGATTAAAACAGAACCTTTATCTATAAACATAAAAACAATTAGTAGGTCAGAATTTATGAATACAACAAAACTTTATGAAGAACTAAACAATCCGAAGAAGATTCTAAAGCATTGGCTTCGTCATCAGCTTCATGATGAGAAAGGGTTCCATAATCAGTATATTTATTAGAAAAGTTAATAATCAATATTTATTTATTTATAAAATATTTACAAGAATACTGGATCAAGTAATGTATGCCAGATTCTTTCAAATTGACAAGATCGTTTTGTTTTTATCTTAATAAGCTTTATTTTTAACGGTTTTCGTAACGGAATAAAAATCATCACTACCTTCACCTTCGTGTGTGAATATCACTAATACAGATATTATTGAAGAAACGGATCCTCCAGATGTTGAAAAACTAAAGAACAATGATAAAATGATAAAAAGAAAAAGATAAGAAGAATCTTTCAAACCTACATAAACCATTGAGCAAAAAAGACGGAGAAATCTAAAACCAATGATCAAGAAGAAGAAGAATCTCTCAAATCCAAATCATCAAGATAGAACTGATGATTAAAAAGAACCTGTCAAACTAATCATCAAGTAAAAAGTATAAATCTGGTAAATGAGGACTGAAAAGAAAAAAATGGCACAATTAATGGAAATTGCATAAGACTTTAAAAAAACATAAAAAGACAAGAATAAGAGTATGACGAACAAGATGTTGTTATCATTAAAACTGAATTATCAAAAACTAAATCATCAAAACAAGAAATGTAATGTAAACATGATGACTCACATGATGATTCAGGTCATGTAGCAATGACACAGATAAATATTGTGAAAATTCAACTTATTAATGTCCGTTTTCATTTTTATTAATTAAAAAAATTTATCATTTTTCATATAATAAAAAAATAAAATTTATTAAAATTAGTATTAAATATTAAAAAAAAAATTTAAATTGAGAAAAACCCAATCTTTAATCTCTATCAATGCCCTTTCTAAAAACTTTTTCATTTAAATTATAAATGTTACTACTTATCTACAACTACACTTTCATCATCATCATCGTCATCAATTTCATCATTACTATTACCATTATTATTACTAATATTTTCTTCATATACTGTATTATCTAACATTTCTACCTCATTATCCTTATTATTGTTGTTGTTGTTGTTGTTGTCATTACTGTTGTTATTATTACTGCTACTACTATTATTGTTGTTACTATCATCATCATCATTATAGCCATTCTCGATGTCATCATCATATATGTCATCATTGAAGTCAAGAACTAGTTCCTCATTCCCATTTTCTCCAATCTCATCACCACCATTATCATGATCATCTAAATTATTTGTTCCGGATTTATTACTATTATTACTATCACTATTATTATTGCTATCGCTATTGCTATTATTACTATTACTATTACCATTACTATTACTATTAGTTTTAGCATTATCATCATCATCATCATCATCATTAAGATTAGTAGTAGTCTCATCATCAACAATTTGTCCATCCTCCATTTCATCATCTGTATCATTATCAGGAAAAATACGTGGTGACTCATCAGGTTCTATTTGTTGTGCAATAGATTGAAACGGTGCATTATAAGAATGATTAATTGTAAAATCAGGTGTATCAGAATTTCTTCCTATCCCTTTCCTTGAAGTATTGTCATTTTCTCCTAAATACTCCCCAGATGATGGTGGTGATGGATTATATATATTAGTATCTATATTATCTGAATATATATCAGCAGCTTGTGTTGTTGCTCTTGAAATGTCAAACAGATCAAGTATTTCTTCTACACAATCTAAAAAAAATAAAGTTTCATTATTTTAAAAGAATATGTATTTAAAAATATATGTTAATAATATTATTACAATTATTTTATAATTTACCACTGGTACTTTTAAAATCTTCATGACATAACAGCCAAGATATTGTCCCTTGCCTAAGATCATTAAATTTTGATTCTATGCCTATAAATTTTGCTGCAATAAATATAGATGCATTTGCTATTGCTTCTGGTGTATAAAAAAGACATAGTGGGACCTTGTAACTGAAATATATATATATATATATTAATTAGAAGAATTTTTTTTATAAAAGGTGACAATTCATTTCAATCAATTTATCTAAATAACTAAAACTTACGTATCATTAATCAAAGTCCATCCTACTTCAACTAATCTTTTGACTATTTCTTTATCATAACCTAAAAAAAAAATTATTATAATAAAATAAATAAATAAAAATCATATTTCATTATCATTGTCATTATTATTTTCTCCTTACCATCCAACTCTCTGATATTGTCAAGAAAAATATCATATGGATGGTTGACATTAAAATCAAAACAAAGAGTGGATGCAACTAAAGGCTCCATTAATTTTATCATCCCTCTCCAGTAATCATATTCCTAACAAGTGATAATGTTAAGAATCTGGTTAATATCAATATTAATTGTTATTATTATTATTATTATTATTATTATTATTATTATTATTATTATTGATACCGATTCTTCCAATCTGGTAAGGTCCCGAAAATAAACCCTTGTAGATGATATTGCTACATCCAACATCTTTCTAATTGATTCGGATTCACTTGCTTTACAAGCCAAAAAGACACAAACACTTGCAATTAACTATTAATTAAGTTGATTAATGACAGGCTAATCAATCAAACAATAAATTACATATATAAATTACATACAAAACAATCAAATTTTTTCAAACTGTGACCCATATAAAAACGGTGAAAAAAGGTTATGGCAGTTGCTATAGTAACTTGTGGTCTAAATAAAACGAACTGTTATATGAATCTTTTCGACTTTTTTATAAAAATATGTAAATGGTTATATAAATACAATTTGAGATTGTAGCAAACATTAAGGATAAAACTTGTAGCTCTGGATCTTATATGCCTTTCTTCTTCAAGAGAAACACCATCCATTCTAGATGGTGTTTTTTCAACATAGTCGGTTTTTGTGTAAATCCAAATTTGATCCATTTTTTGTAGTTTTTGACTTTACACAAAAAATTATTACGCTTTATTTGTAAATGTGATTATACAAAGGGTTACACAACGTGATTAATTATATTATTTTTAACAATTCATTAATTAATAAATATCAAAAAGAAAAATGCTAAGAAATTTACAAACTGAATCATCATCTCAACAGCCTCAACAAACCGCACAATCTCAACAGCAACATGCTTCTTTATTAAATAATACCACCACCACTAATACCACTAACACCACTAACAATACTAGTAGTGGTTTTAATACACAACAGAATCCTGAGCTTTTACAACAGCCTGATGGTATTTTTATGCAGAGCCGACTTTTTTTAGTTCCTGAAGGAAGTGCTTACAGTCGCCAAACATATGAACCTACACATAAATGTACTACTTGTGGACATATTCATGATTGTCAAAATTGTAAGAATAGGTCACTCCTACAACAAGCAATAGAGCCACCTAGAGTTAAATACTTTGAGCCAATCATCCAAAACACTGCAAAGGTGACTAACCTCCTTTTTTTTAATTTGTATAAATTTTTTGATGAACTAATATATTTATGAAATATATATATATAGGCAATGTCTAGAAGAATTCGAAGAACGGAGCAAGATCCATATTTTCGAAGGTCTTTAACAACAAAATTATTTAATTATAAATTTGATTAAAATCTTTATTAAAAAAATTTTATAAATTTTATTAGGAATTCAACAAAACGTATAGGTATATCTCAAGATGAGATATTAGAACGTAGTCGAAGAAATCCTAATCTTAGCATTTCACAAATTGTAGAAGAAATTAATAAAGAAAATGAGGAAGCATATGAAAAAGATTGGTTTCAAAGTTCATCACCAGGAGGAACCTATAATACATTTTCACAGTTTCCTGTACATTTTACCTCTGCTGATGCTACTTCTTTGCAAAACCAAGGTGGAATCCAACCAACACAAACTATGGATTTTACAACGCAAACTACATCATTTTTTGGACAACAATCAGGAACATTCCAGAATCCTATAATTTCAAGAGAACCAGTTTCTTTTGGTAGAAATTTAGTTGATAATACTCAAACTCAAACTTCGCAAAATGTCCCAATATTTAATATTGATAGTACTAATTTAAGGTGTGTATATTAATAAATCAATAATTCAAAATTCATTAATTCATTAATAGGTCAAGTGGTTAATTAAAAAATTTAAAAAAAAGAACTATCACAGAAACATCAACTCAATCACCTATAATTCAATCAACTATAACCCAGCAACAACAACAGCAGCAGCAGCAACAACAGCAGCAACAAATTTTTTCAACATCAAGACCCAGTTTGTCAAATCTTGGGTTAAATTTTAGAAAAATAAAAGTTAAACATGTATTTCCAAAAAAGTCAGCAAGCACTGATAGACTTCTCCCAAATCCAGTACCCCCAAATATAAGAACAACTACGGGTGCTTATGAAGAGATGAAAAAATTCTTTAATAAAGTTTGGGGCTGGGATGCTTAGAATTATATATATATATATATGGTGGCAGTATATTATCATGTATTGTAAAGAAAATTTTGATAACAATAAATATATTTAATATATAGATAGATATGAATAAATTAATTCAGAATAAAAAACTTTAATAGAAGATATATTATTCCATCATAATATTTGATGTTTGCTTGGGGTTTTAAAAATTGTTCAGAAATAATTTGCAGCCCAACTTGTGTTCAAATCTTGGTGGTTTCTATGGCTATGGCCCAATTGTTGCAAAGTTACATCTATTCATAATTTCAAGATAAAGCTGGCTTGTGAGCCAAAGTCCTAGATTTTTATGAATTGGTTACTACAATACTGTATTAGAGGTTGACACTGCGCAAAAATTCCTTAACTGGTCTAATACAGTTAAGGTTCTTTTCCAAATTTTCGGAAATATAAATTTACTCCACTTTGTTGATCAATTTCATGTTACAAACGAGTTGGCTGATGTGATACTTTGAAAAAAAAAAGTACTATTACACTAGTTGAAATAAATACTATAATATTTCCCTTTCATAATCTAAAAATCTATTGTCATCCTCAAAGTATGCTTTTGCTTAAAATTCTAATTTTTGTATATAGAAGTTTGAATGATTTTAACTTTTTGCCAATTTACTAAAGCTTTTTTTCTTTTTTCCGACCATAGTGAATAAAACACTTGCTAGTGATTTACCTTGTTTATTTGCTTCACTTGTTCAAAAATACCATGTGATGATACTAACAGTGACAAGTAATATTGGAAATGAACATCAGAAAGTAAAGCAAATGAGTGTGTAAAAATATTTGCAAAGGATTTTTCTGAATTATCTTTATTAATTCAATCTCTAGATAACTATTCAATTTGCGTTAGACATTACAATCAAATTGTTACTTCTAATGTTTTTCTTGAAAAATTAAAAGCAATAGATGATTATATTTCTAGTTTTTTTGGGAGAAGAAGACCAATGAAATGACCTAAAGTAATTGATGAAGATGCAGAAATTCCACAAGAACAGGGCACACACCACATAAATCTTTTGTTAGAATTAGAAAAAACAAAGAATCAGTTAAATCAACTTGAAGATCAATGAATAAAAGATGTCAATCTTGTAAGTGAATATCAACAAAGAATAAATGAGCTAGAGATGCAGAATTCAAGATTAATATCAGAAAATGAAAAATTGAAGGAAAAGTGGAATAATAGATTCAATGATCAACAATCAAGAGTTGAGTCTATTATAGAAATTGCCAAGTGTAAATGTAAAAACATATACAACAATATCATTGGCTTAATTAATGATCAGGATTGATTTAGCTTTAAGATATTTTGCTTCTGAATGGCTTGCTAGGCAAAATCCAGTAGTTGTAGAGTTTATGAAAAAAAATTACAACACATGAAAATGAAAATCTCCTTGAAGAACAACTTTTTAAATGTGCAGTAGCAGTTGATGCTATTTATGGTGCAAGACATTATAATATGTTTCTGCAATTAATTTAGCTGCATCAGCTGTCAAATACTCAATAGCAAAATCAAAACAATTATTGATTTAGATGGTCACTTTTTGAGTTCTGGTGATTACAAGAAATTCATCAAATAGCAGGAAAATTTAGCTGGTGAAGCTATATCACTTCCAAAAGGTTTACTAATTTTTACCTGCAAAAGGTGATGGAAGAACTATTTAGATTGTAGTTATAACACAGTGATTTTTCATACAGTTACTAGTTTCTTGCATTTAATTTTGATCGCATTGATCAAACACAAACAATTCAGGAACCCTGGTTAAACCAAAAGTTAAATTCATTACAGATTGAAGAACTTTTTGATATCACACCTGAGATGCAACAATTACTTGACCAACAACTTTATAGCTATCTTTCCATCATCTTAAATGAAACATGTGCAGAAAAAAATGATACAAATATTATTGATGATTTAGCAGCTGAGCATACAACAATGGGTAAACAAAAAAGGTTAATAAATGTGGTAAAATGGAGATAGAAAATTCATGATGCAAATGTCCTGATTGTGATGAAAAATTGGTCAATATTGCTGAAATTCAACAAGAAGAAACTAACCAATCAATCTCAGAGACAACAAATACCACAAACCTTTACATATCAGATTCTACCAAAATTCTGCCAACATTTCTGATGCATCACCTATAAATCCAATTAGCATAACTCAAAAATCAACCCCTCAAGATGGTGCTAAAATGCCTGAAATTTCTCTTCCAGATCCTTTACCATTAAACCCTAACTCTATTGAAAATGTCTGTAAAATGCTAGACCACATTCAAGAAATTAGTGGAATCAACAAAGGTGAAAGGAAATGGATTCCAGTAGTTTGTGATGGAGTTCCAAATAACTATGCACAAAAAATTAAGGAAGACTATCCATGAACAAGAACTTGAGGAGGCATTATGTGTTAGTATCAAGTCCAATTCTGATAAGGATGGGCGGCTGAATTAGAAAAACGAAGACAATTGCTTGGGGAAACTGTTGATGTCTTTGCAGCACATATCTTTGAATTATTTAGAAGGATTGAACATGGAGGAAATAATTATCCTGATCGGGTGAAAGCAAGAATGTTTATGGAAAAGCTACAACCTGAATTTTCTTTAGCAGTCAGTCCATTCTTGCCAGACAATAATATACAAGATGAGTAAAAGCCCATGAGATGGCTTATTCAAGGAGAGGAACCCTTTGGCATATTCAGCACAACAATTTATGCCAAATATCCTTGGAACAAATAGAGCAACAGGTGCAAATCAACAGTTTCAAGGACTAACTAACCAATTGGCTAATATGATAAAAAAAGGAAACAATGCCCAAATAATCAAAGACCAAGGATTCAGAACAGTGCAATAAATGAAAGCTGTCTGTCAATAACATTTTACGGATGTGGTCAGGTAGGACATGTAAGATGGAACTGTTCTCAGAATAATAAAAACAATAATTGATGACAATAGTTTAGATCAAATTAGTTTTTCTCTTTTTAATTAATTATTTAGTTTGTAATGATGTATATTATAAATTGTAAATTATAAAAATATTATTATTACTTATCATTTGATTTATAATAAAAATACAAAGGTAAACATATGGCAAGATTAAGAAAAGCAATTATTAATATAATTGTTAAGATAATTCTTTCTACATGTGTAAATTGTCCTGCATTAGTTTTTATAATTGATTCCTCTTCCACAAGATTTGCTAATAATATATAAGATCAATCAATATATATATATATATTATTAGAAATGAATTTTTAAAAAAAAAAGTGAAATAAGGAGGAGAAATAAATAGGAAAAATATGAAAACATACATTGTGATGGAACAGTTGATTGATTTTCTTCATTTTGTGTGTTATTTGAGGCTTCCAATTTAATCATTGCCTTCCTTAAAGATCTTTTACCCAATATAGACAATGCAACTACACAACATCCAACAAAAATAAAATTCATTGTGATAATGGTAATATCTTTAAAAATTATTATTATAATAATAAAGGTAACAAAAGCAATAATTTAATCTTTGTGAAAATATATATGCATAATAAATGAATGAATTGTTGTTTGGTTTATTAATGTACCTTTTTCTTTTAACTTTGGTTTATCAATTCCACTCAAACTTTTTACTAATGATCCCATCCATACAGCATTAAAAGTCCCAGGTAATACACCAATTGCAGTTGCCCAAAGAAATGTGAACAACTAATCAAAAAATACATAAATAAAAATGCATATAATTAATTTCAAATAAATAATATAAATGGCAAATAAAAATTACCATTATTACTTACATTGATTGAGCTCACAGAAAAAAAGTAACTGATCAAACTAAAAGGTAAAGGTGTTAATCTTAACATTACTACAATCTTCCAACCTAAAAAAATTTATTTATTAGTATAAAATCATAAAAACAAATTAAATTATTTTCAAATCATATATATTTTTTAAAAATCATTACTTTAAATACCTTCTTCAGTAATCACTGCATTCAAAGCTTTAAACGTTGGTCTTTTCTCAATTTGATTCATCACCCAATCTGAAAATATATATTTTCCAAACAAAAAAGTGCCAAGTGCTGCTAAAACATCACCAGTAATAATAACGGCACCTGCTAATATTGATGGCTTGAATAAAAATCCTGCTGCTATGCTTATCAAAGACCTATTTCGTTTATCATAATGATAATATAATTTTTTTATTTTAATATGAAAAAATTTTATAAGCAAATGAAATCAAAAAAAAATTTACCCTGGTAAGAAAAACCAGACGCAAATAATGTAAATGGTTAGATAAATCAATATTCCATATTTTTTATGAATTTCAATATATTTTAAATAATCTTTAATATGATCTTGAATTCTAAAGATCTAAAATTTTTCATATTAAAATATTACTTATCATTCACAGAAATAAATATATGTAAACAAGATACAAACCAATAAAAGTGCAATAAGTGTTGAAATGAAAGCAACCAATATAAGAAGTTTGATAATATTCTTTTTCATAAATAATTTCTTTTCTTTGTTTAATTCAATTATTGCATCTTTTGTAGAATTTTTTCCAGAATTTGATGTTGTCCCTTCTTGAGGCAATAAACTACTGGTTTCATCATATGCTTCAACATCATCCTCGTTTATATCATTCGTTGAAGAATCAACATTGATTGAATGTTCAGGCGGCGGCATTTTTTTAATGTTAAAAAATTGCACTGGCTGGAAATAGTACTTTAAAAATCCGGATTTTCCTTTTATTAATAATAATAAAAATTAAGTATTAATAAAACGAAAGGCTAGGTCACATTTCTGACATACGATTGGACGGCGCCGTTCTATTTATTTTAATCAACTTATATTACTATTTATATTTAGTCGACTATTAGTTGATCAAAAAAAACATTAACTGACTAATAGTCGATTCCAATCTCTAAAATAACCTCTTCTTAAATAAAGAAATTTTAATCATAACAAGTTTTGAGTTGGTAAATCCATATCAAATCAAACCTTAAACTGTTCACTAGTAAAGGTTATTATTTAGTCTGATCCATGCAATTATTTTATTGCCATCAACAACTATTACTCCAGTCAGGGAATATGCTAAATTTGGAAATCGATTCTGGAAAAATTCGAACCCCCCTCGTCGATCAATTCATATGTGTTGCAAATGAGTTTACGTGATGCTTCCATAATATGTAAACAAAAAATTTTTTTTAATAAAATTCATAAATAAAAGTCGAAACAAATTCTTCTGAATATAGACCCTGAGAATCCCCGAGGATCCCTGCAAAATTCACAAGATATAAGAAGATATAATTCAAAGAAGTTTTCATTTTTTTTTGTTCTTTTAAGCATAATTTGCAAATTTACACGCACTTTTTATATATTTTTTATATGTACTTCAATATTATTTAAGATAGAAGAATCAAGACCAGCTGCTAGTGAATTACCTTGTTTATTTGAGGCCCTCGCCACAAAACATCCAGAAAGTTTGTCATTATGTGAGACAAAAGAAAATCAAAAGTGGAGATCCGCATCTGGAAATGCAGCAGTTGAAAGAATAAATATTATGGCTAAGTATTTTCCTGAATTGTCTTTATTACTTGATTCCTTAGACAATTATTCATTTTGTGAAAAACATTATAATCAGGTTGTTGCCAAAGAATCTTTACTTAAGAATTTAAAAAAAAAAGATATTTTAATTTCTTTAGAAGAAAATGAAGAAAATAATCAAAGAAAAAAATTAAAACACAATGAAACTCAAATTGCTTTATCAGATCCAGAAACACAGCTTATGAGAGAGTTGTCAGATACACAAAAAAAATTAGAAGAATCAGAAAGACAAAGGATATATTACGTTGACATGATCAAGAAATATGAACAAATAATTGAAGAACTAAAAGACAAAAACACAAGATTATTATCTGAAAATAAAAAACTAAAAGAGGAATTAAATACAACACTTGATGACCAACAATCAAGAATTGATTCAATTACAAAAATTGCTCAAAAAGAACATAAAAATCTTTATGTTGATATTATTAATTTAATGAATGATGAGGGACGATTTAGTTTGGATAGCCTTTTAGAATACTCTACTTCTGAATGGCTTTCTAAACGAAACCCAGTTATTGTTAAATTTATAGAAACACTTATATTCAATGAAAATCAAAACCAACATGAAGATAAAAAACTTTTTAAATGTGCAATGGTGGTTAATGGAATCTATGGAGCATGTCATGCGAAATATGTCTCAGAGATTAATCTTGTGGCGTCAGCAATAAAATATTCTTTAGCAAGATCAAAAACAGTTATAAATATTGATAACCATCTTACATCTGGTGGAAGTTATTTTTACTTTCAAAAATGGCCAGAAGAATTATCAGACATAGAAGAGGCTTTGCCAAATGGGTTGTTATTTATTGCTTTTGATAATGAGCAGAAAGGACAAAAGAATTATCTTGATTGTGGATTTAATAAAGTTATTTTCCATATCGTTACTAGTTTTGTTGCATTCAATATGGAACCTTGCAATGAAACACAACATATAAATAATCCTTGGGTGTATAATTCTCTTAATGAACAACAATACAAAGAACTTTTTGAACTTTCACCTGAAATGCAAGAAGAAATTGATAAAGAATTATATACTTATCTTTCAGAGATCCTT